ATGTTTACTGCAGTACTATTCACAATAGCCAAGATAGGGAATCAACCTAAGTGTCCATCAAAGAAAAATAAAAGAAAGATAAAGAAAATGTGGTACATAAACACATGAAATATTATTCAGGCATAAAAAGAATGAAATCCTGTTATTTGTAAGAACATGAGTAGATATTACGTTAAGTGAAATAATCCAGGCACAGAAAGACAAGTATGTTCTCACTCATATGTGGGAGCCAAAAACAAATGATCATGGAGACATATCAGAATGATGATTACCAGAGGCTGGGAAAGGTAGTCAGGAAGGAAGGACAAAGAGGGGTTGGTTAATGGGTAAAAAATACAGTCAGATATAAAGAATAAGATTCAGTGTTTGGTACCAAAACAGGGTGACCATAGTTAACATTAATTTATTGTGTATTTCAAAATACACAATATTCTACAGGAGTGGAATTGGGGTGCTCCTAACGCAAAGAAATGATAAATGTTTGAGGTCATGCATCTCTCCATTACTCTGAGTTGATTACTACATATTGTATGCTTGTTGTCAAATATTATTATACATGTATTCCATAAATGTGTACAATATTATGTATCCATAAAAACTTTTGTGTGTGTGTGTGTGTGTGTGTGTGTGTGTATTTAGAGATGGAGTCTCTCTGTCACCCAGGCAGGAGTGCAGTGGCACAATCTTGGCTCAGTGCAACCTCCACCTCCCAGGTTCAAGCGATTCTCCTGCCACAGCCTCCCAAGTAGCTGGGATTACAGGCATGTGCTACCACGCGCGGCTAATTTTTTTTATTTTTAGTAGAGACGGGGTTTCACCATGTTGGCCAGACTGGTCCCAAACTCCTGACCTCAAGTGATTCTCCTGCCTCAGCCTCTCAAAGTGCTGGGATTACAGGTGTGAGCCACACCTGGCCCATAAAAATTTTTAAAAAATGAATTAACATCACTCCTTCATAAGCTCTTTCAAAAAACAGAAGAGGAGGTAACACTTCTGAGCTCATTCTATAAAGCCAGAATTATCCTGATACCAAAGCCAACACTGACATCACACACACCAAAAAAACTACAGACCAATGTCCCTCATAAATATGAATACAAAAATTGTCAAGAAAATGCTAGCAAACTGAACCCAGAACATATAAAAAGAATTACACATCATCACTAAGTGGAATAATTCCAACATTGCAAGAGTGGTTCACTTTGCAAAAATCAATTAATATAGTATATCACATATTAATAGAATAAAAGACCAAATACACGATTATTTCAATAGACAGAAAAGGCATTTGACAAAATGTAATACCCTCTCATGGTTAAAAAAAAAAAAGTATTCAACAAACTAGAAATAGAAGGGAATTTCCTCAACCTAATAAAGGACAACTACCCCAAACCCATGGCTAACATATTTAATGGTGAAAGACTGAAAAGTTCTCCCTCTAAACTCAGGAACAAGAGAAGGATGTCTGCTCTCATCAATCTATTCAACATTGTACTGAAGATTCTAGCCAGGGTAATCAAACAAGAAAAAGAAGTCAAAGGCATCCAGAATTGAAAAGAAAGCAGTAAAACTACCTCTGTTTGCGATGGCATTATCTTGTATATTGAGAACCCTAAGGAATCCACAAAAAGCTATTAAAGTTAGTAAACAAGTTCAGCAAGGTTGCAGAATACAAGATCAATATACAAAAATCAATTAAAGTTCTATACACTGGCAATGAACAATCCAAAAATGAAATTAAGAAAAACAGCATTAAAAATACTTAGAAATAAATTTAACAAATAATTACCACTGATGCATTAAATATTATTTTTTAAAAATCATCGAGAAACAATTAAAGAAGACCTAAGTAAGCTGAAAGACATCTGTGTTCATGGAATGGAAGACTAAATAATGTTACAACAGCAATACTCCCTAAGTTGATCTAAAAATTCAATTCAATCCTTATCAAAATCCCAGCTGGATTTTTTGGAGAAATTGCCAAGTTGATTCTAAAATTCAAATTAAAATGCTAGGTATCCAAAATGGCCAAAACAATCTTGAAAAACAACAGTTGGAGCACTTACACTTCTCGATTCAAAACTTATAAAACTATAATATCTAGAGTTATCAGGTACAAGAAATCAAATACATGTGGTGCTGGTCCAAAGATGGACAAATAGATCAATGCAGGATGTATTTGCATTGATCTAAAAGTACAGAAAGACATTTTATGGTCAATTTTCAACAGGTATAACCAGAAAATTCAATGGCAAAGTAGTCTTTTTAATAAATGATGCTGGAACAAATGGATATTTATATGTGAAAGAATAAATTTGGACCCCATCTCACATCATATATAAATTAACTCGAAAATAAATCAAAGGCTTAAATATAAAAGCTAAAACAATAAAACTTGAGGCTGAGGTGGGAGGATCATTTGAGCCAAGGATTCAAAACCACCCTGGGCAACAAAATGAGACTGTATCTCTAAATAAATAAATAAATGAATAGGGAAAAAAAAAAAAAAGTGAAAAGATAACCAAAGAGTCAAAATATTTGAAAATCCTGTAGCTGATAAGAGCCAAGTATAAGAATACATAAAGAACTCTTACAACTCAACAATCAAAGCACAGTAACTCATTTAAAAAATAGACAAAGGATCTGAAAACATATTTCTCAAAAGAAGATATACAAATGGCCAATAAGCACATGAAAAAATGCTCAACATCATTAGTCATTAGAGAAATCTAAATCAAAACCAAAATGAGATACCATGTCACACTACAAGGCTATGATTTTAAAAAGACACATAATGACAAGTACGGCAAAAAATATGAAGAAAATGGAACCCTTATACAGTGCTGGTAAGAATGCAAAAAGTTAAGCATAAAGCTACCATATGACCTAACAACTCTACTCCTACATATATACCCAAAAGAACTGAAAACATATGTCCATACAAAAATCTGTACACAAATATACAGAGTAGCATTATTCATAATTATGCACAAAGTAGAACTATCTCAAATGTCCATTGACTAATGAAAGAATTAACAAAATGTGCTATAGCCATACAATATTATTCAGCAATAAAAAGGAATGAAGTTTTCATATGCGCTACAATATAGATGAACATTGAAAACATTATGCTAAGGAAGCCAGACACAAAGGCCATGCATTATCAGATTCTATTCACACAGAATGTCCAGAATAGGTAAATCCATGGAGACAGAAGGTAGATCAGTGGTTGCCAGGGACTAGAGGAAAGAGGAAGTAGAGAGGGAGTACTAATAGGTAGGAAGTATTTTTCTGGGGGTGGTAAAAAATGTTTTGGAATTATACAAAAGATGACTGCACAACCTTGTGAGTATATTAAAAACCATTGAATTATACACTTCTAAAAGGTGAATTTTATGGTATCTGAGTTATACTTCAATTAAAAATTTTTAATTGGCTTTTTGAAACAGGGTCTCAGTCTGTCGCATAGGTCGGAGTGCAGTGGCACGATCACAGCTCACTACAGCTTTAATCTCCTGGGCTACAGCAATCCTTCCACCTCAGTCCCCAGAGTAGCTGGGACTACAGGCACACACCACCATGCTCGGCTAATTTTTTTTTTTGAGGTGGAATCTCACTCTGTCGCCCAGGCTGGAGTGCAATCGCACAATCTTAGTTCACTGCAACCTCCACCTCCCAGGTTCAAACAATTCTCTTGTCTCAGCCTCCCAAATAGCTGGGATTACAGGCATGCACCACCACGCCCTGCTAACTTTTGTATTTTCAGTAGAGATGAGTTTTCACCATGTTGGTCAGGCTGGTCTTAAATTCCTGACCTCAACTGATCCGCCCGCCTCGGCCTCCCAAAGTACTAGGATTACAGGCATGAGCCACTGCACCCAGCCATATTTTAAAAATGTTTTTGTAAAGATGAGGTCTCACTATATTGCCCAGGCTGGTCTCAAACTCCTGGGCTCAAGCAATATTCCCACATTAGTCTCTGAAAGTGTTGGGATTACATGTGTGAACCACTGTGCCCAGTTACAATACAAATGCTTTAGTAGAACTGAAAAATTGAAGACTTCAAAGAAAGAAGGATAAAAGTTATAACACAGTAACATGTATTGGCTCAATGAATCCACTTTTTCCAGTCAGTCTCCACCGTTTTCACACTACCTACGTGGCTGTAAGATTTTTAATTCTTGATATTCTACTACAACTAATTTAGAACATATTATACACCTTATTACAGTATCAAGGTACCAATATTGACTCATTAAAGTCTTGCAGGGCACAAACTAATCGCTTTAGTAATGTACTGAGAATCTCCACAAGGAACTAACTATATTTTCTAAGGTTGTGTTTTAATAGACTATACCATGGAAAACTGAATATTTAAAATTTAAAGACTGCTTAGATTTAAAATTGGTAAACAATATAATGACATCATTGATAGGTCCCCAGAAATCGGTATTTTGCCATAATATTCAGGTCAAAAAAGAACTACCAAAATATAAATAAATAAAAAAATAGACAGGGAAGGAAAGGGCTAAAGTCCAAAGAAAACTAAACACAACTTGGTTAAACAGCTGTGTTGAAAAACAATTTCTTATCTTGCAATTAAGAACCGATTTCTTTCTGAAAGACACAGGACATTGGGTTAATAGATTTCTTTAAAGGAAAATCTGTTTTGGCTACTGAAACATTAAAAGAACAGAACATCTGTTTTGCAAGTAAAGACAGATTGTGCAGAAGAATCAAATCTCAAACCACCAATTAAACTAGCATTTAATCTGTTCTATTTAAATTTTCAATAAAAGTGAAGTTCAATTCTTGAAACTATAGTTCAGCTATAAATATTTAACATCAGGAACTCCTAACACTGAGACAATCTTAGAGTATAAATAAGGTAATTATTAGTAAGGTAATTATTTTTAATTCTACTTTATATCAAAACCAGGTTTTAAAGCACTATATATTCTAAAAATCATTTTTAAAGTATTATAAAAGGGAAAACTCACCATCCATGAATTCCGTACATATTGAAATCCTATTTTCTACAAAAAATGCTCCATAAAATCCAATGATATATGATGAATCACACTGTAACAAAAATAAGGCAAAAGTAGTTATAAACCTGCAAGTCAATATCATAGGCATGCTTTACAAATAAAAATTATGAAAAAAATTACCTTATAAAGAATTTCCAATTCAGACATGATTTGCTTCTGAAGTTCCAGTGTAATATCTAGCAGTATGACCTAAATATAGAAAGGTATTAACATTTATTCACCTTCTAACCATATTAGCTATACTCACTATGAAATATAAGAACTAAAAAAATGGTAGTTCGTTTATTCTTTCCACTTCCTTCTGCTTACCACTATAATTCCCAGTAATACAAACCGTATCCTCATCTGTCTAACCCTTTGTCCTCTAGTACTGGCGGAGGTGGTACAGAAGTGATTGATGGGACCAAAGAAAAAACCCAGGTCTCAAAGGTCAGCAGTAATGGCTTTAAAAGTCAGTTAAGTTATAACACTCTTAATTTATGCACCCTATTTTAGCCACATTGGCTATTTTCAAAAGAGGAACATGGAAATGACCCTCAAGCCAATATGAAAGAACTGTCTTGGCTGGGTGCAGTGGCACACACCTGTAATCCCAGCACTTTGGGAAGGAGGCTGAGGTGGGAGTGTCCCTGAAAACCAGGGGTATACAACCAGCCTAAGCACCATAGCAAGATCCCATCTCTACAAAAAAAATAAAAAATTATCTGGGTGTGGTGTGATCAGGTGGTCCCAACCAACTTGGGAGGCTGAGGTGGGAGGATCACTTGAGCCCAGGAATTTGGGGTTGAGGTGAGCCATGGCTGCGCCAGTATACTCCCAACACTCCCACAGGGATGACAGAGTGAAATCTTGTCTCTTAAAAAAAGAACTATCTTGTGATTTGTGATCAGACACTAGGCAATAAGCAAAGAGGCTGATGAATAAAAATGACATTTTATTTATTTATTTAGAGACACAGTCTCATGCTGTCACCCAGGTTGGAGTGCAGTGGGGTGATCTTGGCTCACTGCCACCTCTGCCTCCCAGGCTTAAGCAAACCTCCCACCTCAGCCATCCAAGTAGCTGGGACCACAGGTGTGCCACCAGGCCCAGCTAATTTACTGTATTTTTGGTAGAGATGAGGGTTTCACCATGTTGCTCAGGCTGGTCTTGAACTCGTAAGCTCAAGCAATCTGTCCATCTTGGCCTCCCAAAGGGCTGGGATTGCAGACATGAAGCACCACACCTGGCCAAAACATTACGTTTTTTTTTTTTTTTTTTTTTTTTCTTGAAACAGTCTTGCTCTGTCACTCAGGCTGGAGTGCAGTGGCACAATCTTAGCTCACTGCAACCTCTGTCTCTTGGGTTCAAGTGATTCTCGTGCCTCAGCCTCCTAAGTAACTGAGATTACAGGAGCCCACCACCAAACCCGGCTAATTTTTGTATTTTTGGTAGAGATGGGGTTTCAACACGTTGGCCAGGCTGGTCTAACTCCTGACCTCAAGAGATCTGCCTGACTTGGCCTCCCAAAGTACTGGCATTACGAGTGTGAGCCACCATGTCCAGTCAAAAATGACATTTTAAATAGGGTTTTTAGTTATGAGAGAAATAAGTAGTTTTAAAAATATATTATCTTTTTTTTTTTCCAGTCAGGTAATGTTCTTTGCTAATACTGTTATGGAAAGTTAAAGCTTGAAAAAATCTTATTTCATCTAACTCCCTTCTTTTACTGAGGAAGAAACCAGGTTTCCTTCCCAGGAGCCACAGAGCCTGGCAATGGTAGGACCCCCTCCTCTGGACTCAGTCTCATGGGCTTTTCAGTACTTCATGGTTTATTTAAAATATCAATCACTGAGTGATATTACCCATAGTAATTTATAACCCACAAATATAAAATATTTATAAACTTATCTAGAATAAGTTCTAGTTTATTTCAAATACATTATTTTTTAAGAAAGAAGACCATACTGTTCAAATTCTACTAAGCACATCAGTGAAACTAATTCAAGAGTAATTACTTTTTACTTTATTTATTTGTTTATTTTGAGGCAGAGTTCTGCTCTGTCGCCCAGGCTGGAGTGTAGTGGCGAGATCTCGGTTCATTGCAACCTCCACCTCCCGGGATCAAGCAATTTTCCTGCCTCCTGAGTAGCTGGGATGACAGGCACGTGTCACCACACCCAGCTGATTTTTGTATTTTTAGTAAAGATGGGGTTTCACCATGTTGGCCAGCCTCGTCTCAAACTCCTGACCTCAGGTGATCCACCCACCTCAGACTCCCAAAGTGCTGGGATTATAAGCATGAGCCATCGTGCCCGGCCTGTTTTTTACTTTAAAAAGGCAGTGATGAGAATGAAATGGGTGGAAAACAATTTTTATGATTTATGGCAGAGTTTCTGCCTCTACACATTTCTAGATAAAAACTTAACCTTTAGAATTACTATGATAGTTTAGTTATATACCATTCAACTTTGAATTACATTTTGTATTACGAGAAAAAAAAATATATATATATATATAAAAAATCGTACTAAAGAAAAAAATTTATTATGCATCGTAAGCTGCTGCTAGAGCAAGGAAAGAAAGGGACAATTCTAAAGTACATTTTATAGTCCTGACGTTGATTTGCAGGAGGGGAAGGTGGAAAAAAAAAAAAAGGCATAGGCAATTTCTATCCAGAGTTTGCTTTAGGAATATTTATAAAAGCTCTCAGTAAACTAGACTGTAAACGTAATACAAAACTGCCCAGAAATATTTAAACACTTCTCCTGATCAATAGTCATTTGCCAACAATATTCACTTACATTTTTGTATAAAACTTACTAACAAAATTAATTCATCTAGCATCAGTTCAATCCTATGCCATAAAATATTATAGTTATTCCTACTACGATGTCAAGTACCAGGAATCTCTCACTCTAAAAAACTCTGCTAAAAGGAATGAAGTTACTATTGACCTTAAATCAGTGGTTCTCAACCCTGGCCTCACATAATAACACTGAGGGCACTTAAAAAAAAAATTCCAAAGTGGGGGCCTTACCCCAAACCAATGAAATGAGAATCCCTGGGGTTGGGCCCACATCTTTGTTATTTTGAAAAGCACCCCAGGTAATTTCTAACTCAAAGTAAAGTTAAGAACCACTTATTTAAGGTTTGAAAAATGGCATTTATTCAGTGCTAAGATATATGAGTATTAAGATATACTGCATCTCCAGGCCATCACCAACCCAGAAATGACATGATTCCACATTGCTAGCAAACATCCTGGAATTAACCCCAACCTACTAGCTGTGAATATATCATTTCCTTGATCAAGAACCTAATTGTGTTCCCATTGCCTACAGTAAAGTTAAAACTCCAGCATGACATTCAAGGAATTCTTCCACAATACAGACGACTTATTCTAACTGCTCTTCCCACTACTCCTACCACAAACCTACCCTTCATGTGAAATCAGATGACATTTCCTGGTATACACACAAATATCCTGTGCTTTGCCTACTTCCAGTCTTTGCTCCTGCCGTTTCCTCCACTTGGGGTGTGCTTCCTCTCTCCACTCCAGTCACTGTTTGAAAAAAGCTGCTCTACCTTTTAGACCCAGCTTGAATGCCCCCACTGCCTCCATGAAGCCCACCTCAAAGCCATCCACCAAAATTCACCTCCAGCTCTGGCCCTCGATATATACATTCTGCCTTGAGCATCCATTCCTCATCTCCTACCAACAGAAGCCTCAAGAATAGAGTGACTATAAGCCTCTCAAGGGCAAGGGCTGAGTCTTGTACATTTCTCTATCTCCCCCAGCACTCCACACAAGGTCTAACCTGGTAAGTGATGTGTGGGATTTAACTAATGTCGTTACAACTACATTCCTCTTTATAAGAAGCTGTTTCTAGACAAAATAAATAGATTGCTTGATTTCTACAACTGAATTTAAAACCAAGAACATACACCACCAAATAAAAATGCTGAAATATAGTAAGTATAGTAAATATAGTAAGTAAATATACCTAAAATATAGTAAGAAATACTGTATTTGTAGAGCTAATCCACAGTATTCTATTTCATTTTGATCTTTGTTGGTATTTTCCTTAGTCTAGAATAGACGAGATTCCAAAATGATGAAAAAACCCAATAAAGCAATTTCTGGGAACTTGAGAGGGAAAGTAAAATGCACCTTAAAATAACTCTACTCAAATGCTCTCTATTTTCTGGGAGACTTGGCACTCTCGGTGGAAGGTTAATTCTCCTTCCCCTGGGTATTCTTGTGAGTGAGCTTTAAAATTGCTAAAAATAAACAAATCCAATTCCTTATTTGAAGGCAATGGTGAAAAGCATGGCAAAGACTAATTTTCTTTTTGAAGTACAAGGCAAGTACAGACTCCCTGAGTCTTTTATTTTCTCCTTAGGAAGTGCTAAATGTTGTAAACTGGAGAGAATCTGAATATGAAGCATTCCATTGAGAAAGGGTTAAGTGAGAAACTGAAATACCTTAGTGCATTTCCACTGCTCTCCACTACATCTCCAGGACAAATAAGGATGAGTTGTCAAGTTAAATATAAGCAGTCAAGTGACTGAATTATAATTTACTCTGTGCTCAATTTAAATTAGTGTGAGGCTATTAAAATATACAGTATAAATACGGCAATTCATCACAAGCTGTCATGGATGACTTCATTTATTTGCTGGAGTGGCACACACTTCACTAAAGGGAAGGAGAGCAAAATCACAGGTCAAATTAAGCCGCTATTCTGTTTTAATTCACTTATTTAATCTGTGGCGACATAATTGTCTTTTACAGTATGTACAACTCAGAAAGGAAATTTGGGAGGATTATAGTCAGTATACAAATGATTAATCAAATGGTCCATTTAAATGCTAGTTTAAAAGCAGCAGAAACCCAAAGCAGTCAAAGAATGATAATCAGCACACGCAATATACAATGCCAAGAAATTTCCTGTTAGATGGATTTTTCCCACTTAGAGAACAAACAGTAGTGGGAAATCTATTAAATCCTCCAAGCATTACTACTTGGAAGATTTTATAGAATACATTAATGGTATAAAAATATTCTGTTTACAAGATGGCTAACAGTATTTTTGTTTTCTGCTCTACTTACATGCAACTGTCTTGACTACCTACACCAAACACACACACAAAAAGGTAGAAACACGTTTCATGAATTACATATGGTCATTATGAAATAGTTATCT